AAATTTGGTATTGATATTCCTCCAGGACTGTTCTTTCTGTTGAGGATCGTTTTTGCTATTTGGGGTCTTTTATTGTTCCATAAGAATTTTTGTATTGACTCTTCTATTTCCTTGAAGAATGAGGTTGGTATTTTGATAGGTATCGCATTGAATTTGTAGATAGCCTTGGGAAGTATTGCCATTTTCATGATTGTTATCCTTCCAATCCAGGAGCATGGGAGTTTTTGCCCCTTTCAAAGTTCTGTTTTGATTTCCTTTTTCAAGTTTTTAAAGTTTTCTTCATAGAGGTCCTTCACTTATTTGGTTAAGTTAATTCCTAGGTGTTTTATTTTTTGTGGGAATATTACTAATGGAGTTGCTTTCCTAATTTCAGCCACACTTTTCTCATTGTTAGCATACAGAAAAGCCATAGGTTTTTGAGGGTTAATTTTATACCCTGCTACTTTGCTAAAGTTTTGAATCAGCTCGAGTAATTTGGGAGTGGAGTCTAGGGGATTCTTTAAATACTAGATCATGCCATCTGCAAAGAGGGAGAGTTTTACTTCTTCTTTCCCTATTTGGATCCCCTTTATGTTTGCATCTTGTCTTATTGCTGTAGCTAGGCATTCTAATACTAGATTGAAGACAAGTGGAGAAAATGGACATCCTTGTCTCGTTCCTGAGTTAAGAGGAAATGGCTTTAGTTTTTCACCATTAAGTATAATGCTGGTTATAGGTTTGTCATATACAGCCTTTATTATATTGAGGAATGTTCCATGGATTCCTAATTTTTTCAGAACCTTTATCATACAGGAGTGTTGGATCTTGTCAAATGCTTTTTCTGCATCTGTTGAGATAACCACGTGGTTCTTATCCTTGTTCCTGTTGATGTGATGATTATATTACTTGATTTGCGTATATTGAACCAGCTTTGCATCCCTGAAATGAATCCTGTTTGATCATGGTGCATGATTTTTTGGATGGATTGTTGAAGTTTATTGGCCAAAATTTTGTTGAAGTTTTGCATCAATGTTCAACAAATAAATGGGTCAAAACCCTGCCTGGTTTTGGGATGAGGGTTATGATGGCTTCATAGAATGTGTTTGTGTGAGCTCT